AAGATGTCGACATATTGGTTGGCCAAGTATCAGTCAGTTGGGAAAGGTTTTCCCAATATTTTCTTCGATCGCAGTGACATAGATGTTTATCATGGGTTATTGCCAGAAGGAATATATTACCCTGAAATGATGCGCCTTTTGCGAGAAGCAAAGAACGAAAAAAAAGACTGGATTTGTGGGGCAACCAGTCGTGGAAAATTTCATTACTTGTTTGTAAATTTTTGTCTAAAAACAATATCGTAATCATATGCCTCAGCCATCGCATGCACGGACCTTGGGCTCTGGCCATTGTTTTCCTACTCCGAGAACTGAGAAGATTCACGACAGGACAAAGTTTTACTCCGAATTAAGGAGATAAGGGTCGCATCGCTCGAAATGCTCAAGGCCTTGCTAAAGAGTGCCGCCACACGTGTATTATATCCAAGTGGTATTGCTTTGACTTGCACAAAACCGATATTACCTGCCTTTTTAAACCGCGTCCATATGAATTATCAAAGATAGTTGGAAAGGAAAAAAGAGATTTTCACGCGATTCCACTTACCGAACGCTTTGTAAACCTTAAACAATATTCCTAAAATCCCCACATATGAGGGTAATTAAATAATAGTCTCGATATCATTAACGCGATCAAGACCAATTAAGAAAACAGGATGCAAATCGATCGCAATGAGAGCAAAAATTGATCATTAGCATGCAATTCAAAGATATAGTTAAGTTCACTCACTGTTTGTTCGCTTGTCTGTCTGTCCCTTTTAACAGTAAGCAACTATCACTGCGCTTGCATTAGCAAAATTCAAAACTGAAATGGAAACCGTGCGCCCTACGGTAATTGAAAAGTTAAGTGCAATCACTCACCCGGATGGTAAAGTAGAGGATGAATGAAACGGGAATAAATGAGAAAAAATCTTTGATGCCTTGATATGTAAAGTATCCAAAATTCGCCATAAGATATATAGTCAAGTTTTCTTTGTACATTTTTATTTCATTTATTTATATTTATTTTTTTTTTACTTCATTATTTATTTATTTCGTTTTTTTTTTTTTTAAGTTTTCAGGTATTTCACTATTCAATGAATGCAATGAATGCGTCCATATATTCATAAATTTCTTTTCAATAAATGCGTTTTTTTTTTTATAATTTTTTTTTTTTTTTTTATAAGAAAAGAAAAGAAAATGGAAAAATAAATAATTAATAGTTAGTCCAGCAAATCAATCCAGTTTAGTTAATTTCTTCTTTTTCATTCACTAACAAAAGACGACAACATACAACAACAGGTTTCTGGTTCGATGTGTAATTTTTTTTAACCACAGAGCAGAGGTTATATTAGATTTGTGAAATGGTTTAAAAACTTGGAAATACATATACAAGCACACCTGCTGGAGGAGGGAGCTTCGTAAAATTTACAACACTGCGCATAAAAAATAAGGCGAATTTTTTTTTGCCATTCAAACCTCGTCATGAGTACTTATACTATGAAATCATAAAATTATTATTATTATTATTTTTATTTTTATTTATTTATTTATTTTTTTTTTTTTTTTTGTAAGTTCGTAGCATTTTATCTTTGACATCTATCTAGAGTTTAATGACAATATATTTAACTGCGGCGAAGTGATGGCACACGTATTGTTGTAAACATACCAAAGGTAAGTTTTGTAAAACGAATGATTTCTGACGGGCCAGACGTCAGGGCAGAATTGAAGCTATGCTTGCGATCCGAAACCAACTGACCGATCGAGCGGTTAACGAGTAAAAAATGAAGTGAAAGGACGGGAAAACCGCATCGAACGATAATCTTCGATTACCGCATAGCTGTATATTTCGAATTTTTTCCGCCTCCGACCACATCGTGACAACAAGAAACATGAATTGGATGACTATAAAGATTTTTTGATTTCACTTTACCTTTTGACCACAGTATAGAGCACATCAGCGGTGGAGTTACCGGAGTAGCGGAAACGTCTTAGTTCTCTTTACACCTTAAGTGAAATAAACCAATTGCCCCGGAGACGATTTGAGATAATATATCTTTTTCAAAGATTACGAGAATCAAACTTTCTCATATCTACTGCTCCGAATGGATTTGTTAGACTTCTTGTGTTCACAAGTCATAAAGAAATAGTCATCGATTACCGGCGCCAATACACGAGTTAATTTACTCATATCAACTTTAATGGTCGTAGGGATAACTAAAGCACTGTAAATTGTCTATGATCCATTTGTATTTACCCATCTTTCTTCTCTCTGTCTATCCGTCTACTCAAATTACAATTACGATCTCAAAACAAATTCTTCCTCATATCCCTTCCTATCATTTTGCTTTAAAATTTACCGAAATCCGTTCACTCCTCAATTCAAAATTAATACAAAAAGACGGAGAGAGAACAATAATGCTTATACCCATCACAGAAGAGTGGGCGGATATAATCATGAAGAAGGAAGTTTCCGAAAGCAAGAGAGAGAGAGAGAGAGAGAGAGAGAGAGAGAGAGAGAGACAGAAATTTGAATTAACCCTGGCTTGTCTGTCCGTCAATCCGTACTAAATGGTCTGCCATCGATCGGCATCAAATTTGTCCAAACAAAAACTTGTTCAGCTCTTGCGCCCGGCGTTAATATTGAAAATATTAAATGAGCGGTCAATGTGCCTTCGCACGGTATTAAATAAACTAAGATCACCACCTTTTGTGATATCTACAGTGCACATGTACGAACTTACTTCCGTTTAGTGAATGTGGTCTTCAAACCCGGCTTTCAAATTCGAATTTGGCTCATTACACGAATAAGATCAAATATATGTATGGGCCACACGATTAATGCTACCAATTTAAAGGCTATTTACAACGTAAGCACATTACGTACGCGTTATACATGATAAATGTCCGCACGATTTGTACTGAGCGAATAGATATATATATCGTTGCCATCATCAAAGCAATTGCTTCAAATCATCAAACATAGATTTCTTTCTTATTGATTTACGTAATTACCTGTGGAGGGGTCATTTACTTTACATTGCTTTTAAAACGATATCATCCTCGATATTATCAGTGAGGTACAATGAGGACCAAATGTATACGCCTTTAAGAAGCACAACTTAATTAAAGCACAACAACAAATTCGCTAGCTGACTGAATATAAATTTTTTATTTAATTTTTTACTCGAAATAATTTTCTGTACGCTTCGTATCGGCAATAAATAATTTTTACAAAGAACTTGTTCGATCAAGGTAAATTTTCATTCAACAACTTTGAACGAAAACTAAAAATTGATAATGGCTATGATATGTATATAATATAATCAATTATTTTGAATTATGTTCTCTCCTTGTCATTCCACGCCAACGCCACCGTTAACCGAGAACTTGTCTCATTAGAAATTTTGCTCAATATGGTTAAAAATTTCATTGCTATTCGTTATCTTAATGTGGGGCAATGAATATTTATTGAAATAATAAATTAAAGAAGAAGTTCTCTCTCCGCTCCCCCCTCCTCATCGCTTCTATCGACTCTTTTACAGGTTTTTTCTTTTTTTATCATCAACTTTCTTGTCTTATCACAAAAAAAAAAAAAAAAAAAAAAAAACACTAATACACTTTTTACCTGTCGCTAATAATTGCAATATTTTTTATTCGCGTTTTCTGAGAACTTGTTCAAGATACAAGAAAGAGGACAGAACCGACACGATTTCTGTGATCTCGAGTCCCACCACCAGTCACAGCCAATAATTGGCGGATTATGCACCAGTGCGATTATGAAACAAAGAATCACAAAATTTAAAGTCAATGCATCCGAATTTCACATCGAACAAGGAAGGGAAAGCAATTTTTTATATAAATTTAAGGGGCGGGCCTTGCTTGGTTGACAGACGGCGCAATAAATATCTTGATATAATTTTAAATAAAAAAACAAGAAACCTCGATGGGATAATCTATAGAGGGCGATAGGCATGCCTTGCCGGAAGCAGCATCTCTCGAATATCTGTACATACACTTTCGTCTCGTCCCAGATGCTATATGCAATTGTTTTCTCCTTTTTTTCATAGTAACTAAGGCAAAACATGAACTTGGATCTATCCTACAGTTATCCAGGCAGGCTTAACGCTGTTTCGTAGCATTGTAACTTGTACGAAAAGTTAGGCTTAGAATACCAAATGAGAAATTCCATCTATCATAATATGTGTATGTTGCTCCATATGTTTAACATACATATGTGTGTGAGCCGAAAACCAGAAATTTTTGATGAATTTTTGCTACGCATTTATGAATTTGAATGAATTAAAGTCCTCTACGTCTGTTCGTCCGTCCATCTCTTCCTCCAATTGCCCAATCGTCTTCAAACGCATTTTTCATCGATCAAAAAGCATCTTGGAAAACAATTTCTCTTCATCTCCCATGACCATCCATTTACGAAAGGAAACTTTCTTCTACAAAATAATATTTTTAGAGGTTTTCAAAACGCAGGTTTACATAAAAAATGTTGCTTGTTGTTGAGATAAGAAGAAACACTAAATGCGCTTTATGGTTCCTTTTTTTTTGCTTTAAACATATGACATATGCGCAAAAAAAAAAAGACAATAGAGAGCGAAAGCAAAAAACAAAAACAAAGTTTTTCCTAAAAATTGCAAACATGGTTAAAAAGAGGTCATTGATTTTTTCATATATGAGTTTTTTACCCCCTCAAGAGAAAAAAAAAGTAAATAACTAAAAAAAAACAAGAAAAAATTGATTGCATTCACTTATGAACGGTGGTCAGCAAAGCCACCATATAGCAAGGCTACCAAGGCAAGATGAAGACAAATGTGTTATGTTTTAAGCCTATAACGTATAATGTTAAGCATTAGTAATATAGTCCACACTATGTGCATATATCTGAGCTATACATTTAGGTTAATGCATCTAACTAATGTTTTAAGATCAGATGTTGAATCTTGAACTATAAGTAGCTCCGAAGATTAACTACGGCCGGTTATCGAAATGCCGTTCCTTGCGGTTACACTTACCTGCGGAAGCAGAGAGATTGTTGCTTAAATTATTACTACTGCCGGCAAATGAACGCGATGATGAAAATATAGATGTGTTGAAACCGTCCGCAGCGACTGCACTAACCATGGAGTTAGCACCAATACCAGTACCGGTAGGCGAACAGGCATTCAATGTACGCACAACGTTTTGTTTACGCCTTTGTATAAGGTCACGTTTCCACTGCGGCATTTCTGGTAGAAACGAGGGTGAGATAGCACCGCTACCAGGGCTGCTACCACTAGGGCTTAATAAAGGTGAATTCATATTATGATGATGAGCGGAAACCGTGTGCACTTGTTCTATGTTCAATAATGTTGAAGGGCGTTCCGCATTCAATCGCTGACTCGTTGCCGTATTAGCACTGGTGACATTTTGAGGAGTTGCAACAGATTCACTAGCAAACTGTGATGTTTCAAATGGCATACGTGTAGCCGCCATTATTTTTAAATTAACAAAACAGATATTTTTTTTTTTTTTTATTAAAAACTTCACAATTTTTTTTTTTTTTTTTTAAGGTCAGTTCTAAGTATATTTCTTCTTTTTGTTATTCTATGAAAAAATAAAATTTTGGTAAATATATGAGATGTCACTTCTTTTTATTATAATTATTTCTACACTAAACCATATTCGACTGGACTTTATTTTAACCGTAGTAGTAATGCCGTCAGTTATTATATACGAATGTTTGAAAGTCGTTGTCCGCGGAGTACAAGTACCACAAAAATTAATTTCAAACACTCTTTTTCGTTCATATACATAGAAGAAATTTTTTGCACAAATATGCGAAGCAAAGAAAACCACACATGTAACGGTATGAGCTCTCAAATATTTTATGCTCTTTTCAGCTATTTTTACTATTCACTCTGAGCGCTTACCCCTCGCATATACTTTTAATTGTTGTTTATTGTTTATAAAATAAAAAAAGGTTCAAATATTTGCTCTTCTTTTAATTCTTTGTTATTATTTCTCCATTCGGTTAATTTGATTTGTAAGATTTTTCTAAACTATCCACAAACAGCCTTAGCACTGTTCGTTTGTATTGATTTTGCGTTTGGTTTTGATTGCAAACGCAAAAATTTTCTCTCTATTCTTTTTTCCTTTTTTCTACACAACACATTTCACTCATTCATTTGATGTTATATTTAATTTAATTCTTTACATCTGTATTCCTTTCTCTACTATTAATAAATCGATTGGTATTAAATGTTCTTTATTATTTATTTTTTTTTTAATTATTTGATACACGTTAATGCAATAAAAACCATTATTTATTTAAGTGTTGTGTAGTTTGTTTATTTCGCAAAAATAAAAAAAGGAACACGATATCCATAATTTCTTTTCTTATTCGAAATGTCTACTTACAAACAATCACTAACAGAGTAAATTTTTAATTTACCGTTAAACTGTATATGTAAACAAGAAATTTCTTAAAAACTGAGAACAATTAGTTGTGAGAGAAAGAATGTGATGAAGATTCGAGATTTTCTTAAATCATTTATTACAAAGAAAAGAAATATTCATATTGTAATTGAAAGAGATGTCGTTTAACAGAACATGTTAATGAGCAACAAACAAACAAATAAACAAGCAAGAACCAATGTAAAGCCTTTACAAACTAAGCTCAAATTTTTAATTTTGAAGAAACAATGTTCTTACAAATTGCTTTCTGAATTCTTTGAGTACAACAGCATGGCATGAAGTACCCAAATAGATGATGAAAGCTCCCTTAGAACAAAGTAAAGTCTGTCCACATAAACATACACTTTAAATGGACCTTATTCACTTGAGAACAAAAATTTTGGCTATATACACCACCGCAATCACACAATGTATAAACGGTGTCTAGGGCAAGTCTTATCGGTTAAAGCTTTCAAGAGGGTAACGAGAGAGAGAGATAGAGAAAGGCTTCTAAAAAATATTTGTAATCGGTAAATCTTAATAAAGATATATTAAATGTATACGGTTTGTGCTAAGGTTCAGCAGAGTTCAAATTTTGCGACTTTCAAGAATACCATCAACAAAAGCCAGATTAACTTGGGAATGGACGCAGATGCATATGAAATCATTTGTTTGTATTTGGTGTGTACACAATTTACTGGATAACGAGTTTGAATGGCGCTTATACGTTCCACAAATGAAAATTAATAAGAATAACGACATGCTGGGACGCTTCCGGGGTGGTAGGTAAGCCTCAATCCTTTAATTTCATGTGTATGCGTTCTTAATTTTCGATATGGGAAGCAGTTTAATTTTATGTGACATAGAGTTCAGAAAAATCTCATCAACTTCGTGAAAAACTTCTTTTTCATTTTATTCACATTTTTATTTTTTTGATACTACTGGTGTTTTACGAACAAATTTATTATCTTACGTTATTATCTTGCGATTTTTGTGAATACTGAAAAAAATTTTGAAAATTTTTATCGAAAATACAAAATATATTTTTGACAGATTTTTTAAAACTAAAACCTAAAATACTACGCTTAATCGAACACATAACGATTCGATAGATGTGTAAAGTATTTTTTCCATTTTTTGCGTATAAATAAAAAAAAAAATTTGAAAAAATCACGTCAAGTATTAACCCAAAGATTTGGCAACGCCACATATTATTGATTTTCTCTTCTCTTCCATTCTCGCCCCTAATTTTATTACAATCAGGGAATTGTTGTTGGGTTGAGAAGTAGAGAGCAGAAACCTGCACTAACACTTATGATTATGTATGCATTCGTTCACTTTTTGTTATCAGACAGAAAAAATGTGTGTACAACGAAAACAATGTTATAAACAAATAGGTTTGCAAAACGGAAAACGTTGAAGTGGAGCAAGAATTTCTGCCACAGTAAAAAGAAATGGAACAAAAGCATTTTTATTAATAATTTTCATTCAGAAAGAAGACAATGTAAAGATTTATAACTAAAACAAAACAGCCAAATTGGGGGTGGCAAAAAGACGGCAACACAAACATATCAACAAAGCGTCATTTTTCAGACTAGTAAACAAAAAAACAGAAAAAAAAAACGATCCAGACGTATACAATGGAATACAAGAAAAACATTTATGCTGTTGTAATGAAATATTCAAACATTTTTGTATTGAACTCGAGACACATGGAACGACTTTTTACTTTTAATTTCTCTGTGCATAATATTTGCTTTGACAAGAACTTCTCTCGTCGTTAAGTTACCGCTAATTAGAATTTTTTTTACTATTTTCCATTTAAGAATTTTTATTTGTTATTTAATATCAAGTTTTTTTTTTGCTTTTTTTTTAAGACTTTTTCAATTTTTTTCTTTTACACCAGCTCTAAACAACTAAAACTCCGTAGAAGGATTTTTTATGAAAAATTATTTTTCTGTGTTTACAGGAAAAATACATTTTCCACTTGGCTTGCTTTGAATTCTTAACTAGTTAAGTGCTGCCATCATTCACAATTTTACCCATGTTTGGGATTTTAAAAATGGCGTGTTGATGGCACAAGCCATATACATATTTTCTTTTTATTTGTTCGGAAATCTTCTTTACAACGTACTTTTTACCCATTTTTCCTTATTACTTATTTATTAGTTAATTCCTTAAGCTCTACTGCTTCTTTATTAGAATATTTCAAGAAGATTTTTATATATTAAAAAAATCAACATATTCAATATTTATTCCTAAATATGTATTTGCGTTTTTTCTCGTCAACTCCTATTAAGAGTATCATATGAACAAGGAAAGGATCGAATATCAAAGCACGGTTACCCTAATTGTCTCTCATTGCAGGTTCTCTACAACATATTATGCGTATTGTAGGAGGAGAATTACGTACATAGGATTTTTTTTTAATTTAAAAATAAAATATAGAAAACTAAAGTACAAATTCATTACAAAATCTGCTACAAAGTGAATTGCATTGAAATTAATAAAATTTATTGAAATTGTCGTGGAAAATAAAACTCTTCTAACAGTAACCGGCTTTCGTGAAAGTAATAAGAAGCAAAAAATGGCCATACCTGAGCATGATAATATATTTCTCTTTGTACCAAATTTAATTGGTGAGTAATTAAATAAAGATTTGCTTCACAGCCTTTGATATAAATCAATAATTTACGGATGATTATGGTATATATATATACATATATATATATATATATATATATATATATATATATACACATATAAAATATAAAAACAATTTTTTAAAATTTTTGTTACAATTCAATAGTAATTTCAAAACGTATTGGCACAACCTTGAAAGTAGTTTTAATTTAATTAAAGTTTTTCTACATATATGCATATATGCAAGTACGCATATGAGCAAGAAAACCATCCCAATTGATTTTTAATTGAATTGCCTCAAGACGTTATTTTATTCTTTAGGTTATGCGCGTATTGTTTTGGCTTTAATAGCATTTTGGTTTATGTCCACCAATTATGTGATCTCGGGTTGGTGTTATGCAACTAGCGCTCTACTGGATGCCGTGGACGGACATGCGGCGCGCACCTTCAATCAAAGTATGTTAACAAAATTATTGCATTTTCTTAAATCCTTCCTTTAATTGATTATATTAACGTTTTTGCCTTTAAGCAAAAACATTTTTTACATGTTTCATTGCTAACATCACTAAATATTTTTTACGTTAGAACATATGCATTCAATCATTCCAAGAATTCTTCATTTCCATATATATTGGTCGTTTGTTTACATGATTTTTAACAAACATACGCCCTCTCTTTCGTTCTCTCAGAATCAAACAAGTGTATCTTTTATTACAGGGTGCTATCTCCATTTATATTGCACATTGATATTATTATCAAAGATATCAAAGATCTATTTAGTCGGTCTGATTGACTTATTATTATCTTTGTTATGCCTTATCAATTATTATTAATTGTTCAATCATTTAATGAACGAGAGCATAGAGTTGATTAGTGTTACTTCATTTGGAAGTCACGTGCCATCAGAAATTTTGTTAAGAGTTTTAATGAAAGTGCAATTGAACTATAAAATGGATTATTATTAAATGAAACCAAAACATATAATAAACTCTTCTCTATTTAGACGGTTTTTTTCTGTAGCAAGCAAGTGGTGAATATAATTATGTCACATGCACAATACTTGTAAATTAAAAATTTCTCATGAGATAAAAAAAACAAGCAGAACGTGATTTTTTCTCTTTCTTACCGTATTCATTTTTCAAACAATCTTAATATATATTTTATTCGAAATAAAATTTATGTCTTCATTTGTTTCTTTTCATTCGTTAGGTACTCGTTTCGGGGCCATGTTAGATCAGTTAACCGATCGTTGCGGCACTATGGGTCTCTTGGTGACTCTTAGTTACTTTTATCCTAAATATATGTTCTGGTTTCAACTTTCAATGGCGATTGATGTAGCGTGCCATTGGCTTTACATGCAAACGTGAGTAATGTAATAATTAAATCCAACATATAACTTGTATAAAAAATTATTCTCTCGTTTCTTTTCTTTTTAGGAGCGTAGTGGTGGGTAAAAGTTCCCACAAGGCCACTGACCTTAATGAAAACATTGTTATGCGAATATATTATCAAAAAGATGTTTTAACATTTATGTGCTGTGTGAATGAAATGTTTTATATATGCTTGTATTTACTGCACTTTACTACAGGGCCACTAAGTAAGTATTTGGTTTGGCTTCATACTCACCATCAGAGTTTAGGTTTATGCGCACTTTCATTTGAAACATTTAGAAATACGCGTCAGAAACCGGATAAAGCATACATTTCCTTAATTAACTTACGATTCAGAGTGAACTCAATCCTGTCAGTTTGTCCGCCTATCGCCTAGTTCTGAAACGTTACTTATCGAAAAGTTGAAAATTTAGAAAGCTGAAACTTGGCACATATGTCCTTTGTTGATGGTCACACATGGGTCGCTAGCAAAAGAAAAGATGCCCACTATTTTTCATTTGACAGTTGTAGGCCCCGAGGGATGGAGCAATGCCATCACGTCTAATAAAATAAATTTTAATATATTGGGTTGAGATGTGTGCTAACGCGAACATATTCTTCTTTGAACTTGGATTTCCCAAAAATATCTTAATTTTCTGTAATATTTATAGTTTTGGGTTTTTCGGTGTTTAAACTGTTGGCGTATCTTACTGCCCCGTTCGCTTTGTTGAAATCTTTAATAAGTTGTGTCCATGCTTATGTGGCCAGTCAGGACTTGGCGGCGGTGGACAAGCGTGAACGCCAGGAGAAACGAGCCAAAGAAGCCAGTAAGCGTTCAGAGTGAACAACAACACATATACAAATTAATATATACCTTAAGAAAAATATGAAAAAATTCCACTCATGTATTTTAAGTAAATTTTTGATTTTTTAGATGTCTATGGTAGAATGTTGTATAACTGTAATGTGTTATATTTATTGTGCTTTTTCCACAACTTTTTTTTTTGTTTTAATTTAACATTACTTTTATTTTATTATTATTGTTTTTGAATTTATTTTATACATAATTCTTAAGTTATTTAAAGTTATAATTTCTAAGCGAACAATGTTTTAAAAGAAAAGATTATGTATCGTATAAGGAAACTGTTATATGCAATAAGTTTTTAAACTTAACAAAAGTATTGTGTTACATGAAAAGAAGGTATGTTGTAATTTGTTTAATATTACGCAGTTTAAATGTACTACCAACATACAAGATCTAATATGTATTGGATATGAATGTATAAAATTATAAATAAATGTTTAAATTGCTAAAGAACTAAAATAGACTTTAAATAAATTTCTTCTTTCCCGGTCAAAGTAGCGGCTTTTTCCTTACGCTTTCTAATTATGTTCAAGTCGGAATTTTAATTATGGAGTAAAGTATCGGTCAAAACATTGAATTTTATCTACTTGTAAACTTTTTAAACTGCCTAACATAATTTATCTAAATTTTTTTTACGCACTAAAAATTGTAGCAAAACACTGCTTTTTTTGACAAATACTAAACTGAAATACTGAAATATTTACAGCTGACAGCTTCATAAAACAACAACTCAAACACACGGCATCAGCTCTGTTGTTGACTCGCTGAATATGCAAGAAGAAGCAGAAAAATAAGCAAATTGCTCATAAAAACATATATTTTTTTCTTAAAAATTTATTATTTTCTTTTTACGAAATTGCTTTGTATTTGCTTGTTAATGTGACCGAAGGAATATATCAAAAATGATGTTTTCCTACATTAAAGATTTACTAAAGTATAGCGTGCAATATGCTTGTATAACGCATTGTTTCTTCGAATACGTTGGTGATTTTGTGGTGGTAGGTGGAATCTTGCAGATTTTAACGTTTAATATATCTGCTCACTGATAATTTTTATTCCAATAGTGTAGTGGACCGAGTATGGAGCCAACATTGTATTCGAATAATATTCTGCTAACCGAACGTATCTCCACACGCTTCCATAAACCAAAACGTGGAGATGTGATTATAGCCATTTCACCCACCAATGCTGATCAGTATATTTGCAAACGTATCGTTGGCGTGCCAGGAGATAAAATTTGCGTGGATAAACCATTCGAGATTAGTCGAACAAATCAAAACGATAATAAAATTTCTAATGACTCGATTGTAAAATCGAAAAGCACCGTTCACAAAATTATTGAAGACATTGTGCCCAGAGGTTATGTTTGGATTGAAGGCGATAATAGGCAAAATAGTTCCGATTCTAGATACTATGGACCCATCCCGTTGGGCTTAATAAAAAGTCGAGCAATTTGTAGAATATGGCCCCTAAATGATATAAAAATATTATGAGAGTAGCAAATACTACAACAATCCAAAGGTATAAAAATACAACTCTGTATTCTTTTGGTTTCTCAAAATTGAATATGAATAATGAATAAAAAGCACTGAACATACTTTACTTCAGTTTTTTAAGAGGCAACACGCGTTTTAGTTTCTTCGCATCATTTAACCAGTAATAAGAAAGAGTCCAGAATTTTCCCTAAATTCGATATTAACTAGTTTGAGGAATTCTTTAATATTCATTAGAAAAAAAAGAAGAAATAATGGCTTCTATAAGTTTGTTAAATCCTAAAGCAGAATTTGCTCGCGCCGCTCAGGCGTTGGCTATTAACATCTCGGCAGCTAAAGGCTTGCAAGATGTAATGCGCACCAATTTGGGTCCCAAAGGAACTATGAAAATGTAAGTTTTTCTAACCAATTTTAAAAGAGGTCGTAAAATTTCTTTATTATAATGTGCAAAAGTGGTATCTGTCCAAATTTTAGACCATCTGTTAATGTCTCGAAAATAATTGTCGGCATTTATCGTGAAAAGTGAGGTTAAGTTACACATATGTGTCATCTAATAGATGTCCGTAAGCAAAAGAGTTTAATAAATATAAGTCAGAATTGCATATTAATTTCTATTAATTTATTTCGTAACATCTGTTTTTATTTTATAAATTGTTCCTACGTTAAGAAAACTTTTGAAATCATACTCCATTTAAAGAAGTTGCAAATAGAATTGAATATTTTTTTTTTTTTTTTTTTGGTACGTATCGTTTAAAAAGGGGCAACTCAATTTTGTTAACAAATCGTAGTCATATCTCTATTACGAGTATGGTTAACAATTTTCTTGCTTGTACTCTGTTGTATCCAAACATAAACTTCAAAATATGTTTCATTTTTGCCAGTAAACTCTAATCCCAACAAATACAGTTTGCAGCACTTTTTGGTATCCGTATCTGCAAATATTAAGAGCTTTTGCGTCTATTTGCGAGAAAGAGGCTGCACATAAGTACGACATGCACCTCTTTCGGCGGCTTGCTTTCTGTTTGCAAACGGACACTTCTCATAATTGTCTTATTCAAATTGCGCAAAAGTATTTGGAATTTATTGTTACTATGTTTTGGATATGGCGATATATATTAGCAAACTTTGGTGTAAAAAACAATTACCAAAATGAAAAAAGCTATGTTTCAACGGCAGTAAGACAGCAGTAAAATAGGTTTAAACAATGCATGAATTTCTCTAAGCGCATGTAGCCTGTAGGTTGTTTATAACTCTGAACAATTTATTATAAAGATTGCGCTATAAAAACGGTCGAGTAAATCTGCAAATGGTTATTAGGTAATAATCATTATTTTTATGAGTAACCTACATTTACTTTAGGATCATTTTATCATTCTATTTCCTTTTGACGTTGTCGAACTTTATAAACAATTTATTTATCTTAGGGTAAAAGTAATGCAAGTAAGATACTTCCGTTTTAATAAAAGTGCGATTTTTCTTATAACTAGGTTGGTTTCTGGTGCTGGCGACATCAAAATCACTAAGGATGGCAATGTTCTTTTGCACGAAATGCAAATACAGCATCCTACTGCGTCTATGATTGCTCGTGCTAGCACAGCTCAGGATGATTGCACTGGCGATGGGACAACTTCTACGGTGTTGTTAATTGGTGAATTACTTAAACAGGCTGATATATTCCTGGCTGAGGGCCTACATCCCCGTTTAATTACGGAGGGTTTTGAAAAGGCATGTCGCAAAGCTTTGAAAGTGCTAGACGACATGAAAGAGGGAGAAATTACTAAAAAAAATTTGGCCGAATGCGCCAATACCAGTTTAAAAACTAAAGTACATCCTGCTTTGGCTGATCTTTTAACCGACGTATGTGTAAATGCTGTTTACGCTATACGTACTGATGAGAATAAACAGATCGATCTACACATGGTGGAGATTATGCACATGCAGCATAAAACAGCTGCGGATACCACTTTAGTGCGTGGTCTGGTTATGGATCATGGTACGCGTCATCCGGATATGCCTCGACGTGTAGAAAATGCCTATATTCTGACGTGCAATGTGTCTTTGGAATATGAAAAATCAGAAGTCAATTCCGGCTTCTTTTATAAAACGGCCGAAGAACGTGAAAAATTTGTTATGGCTGAACGCGACTTTATCGATCAACGTGTTAAGAAGATTATAGCTTTGAAACGTCAGCTGTGTGATGGTACCGATAAGTCGTTCGTAGTTATTAATCAAAAAGGTATCGATCCCATGTCCTTGGATGCGTTAGCCAAGGAAGGCATTATGGCTCTAAGGCGTGCAAAACGTCGTAACATGGAGCGTTTAGCGTTGGCCTGCGGTGGTACTGCAATGAATTCGTTTGATGGCCTAGACGAATCGCATTTGGGTTATGCAGGTCTGGTCTACGAACATGTTTTAGGCGAGAATAAGTATACTTTCGTAGAGAATTGCAAAAATCCTCATTCGGTTACCATATTAGTAAAGGGACCCAACAAGCACACCATTATTCAGATAAAGGATGCAATACGCGATGGCTTACGTGCAATTAACAATGCCATAACAGATAAATGCTTGATTCCCGGTGCCGGCGCTTTTGAAGTGCGAGCTCACAATGAACTTATGAAATATAAGGACACAGTTAAGGGTAAAGTTCGTCTGGGCATACAAGCCTTTGCTGAGGCATTGCTGATTATACCAAAAAGTTTAGCCATAAACAGCGGTTATGATGCTCAGGATACTATTGTAAAGTTAACTGAAGAGGATCGCCTTAGTAGCGAAGCTGTTGGTTTAGATTTAGCTACTGGAGAACCTATGAAACCTGACGATTTAGGTGTTTACGATAACTATAATGTAAAGAAGCAAATTTTGAATTCCTGTTCGGTCATTGCTAGTAATCTATTGCTAGTTGATGAGGTCATGCGGGCTGGCATGACCAACTTGAAAGGTTAAGACGCGATACCAATACATTCATTGTCGGTATAAAGAACCCTACATTTCATTTATTTTACTCAAGCGATTTTTCTTATTTGTATTATTTTTTAAATGCATTAACTTACTTGCTAAATTTTAATAATTTCATCTTATATAAATAAACACATAAAATAACGTCTTCTTTGATTGGGTTTGGTCGAGAAATTTGCAAATGTTCGTTTTTATTGTTTTCGATGAATTAGCTGTGAATGCAATCGCCAAGAAGAAGAAGACTATATAGTTTGGTTTTTGTTTACATTGTGAAGAGGATTTTGTGATTGAATGAGTTTTTGTGTACATTGTAAACTGTCCGTAACACTTTAATTATCATTTCTGACACCCTATACTATACCTACTAAACATCTGTTTAGAATGGTATAATGACTATTAACTGCTGATAACATTTGTGTTACAAAGTTCCTTCAAACATCATGGACAGTTATCCGAGAAATCTTGTAGATCAGTATTTGAAGACGTGCAATAAGTTAAAGAAAGTGGAGAAAGCTTTAATCAAGTGAGTAATTTTTCTGATGCTAAAACAAGAAAATGAGAAGATTTCATATTCACTGTTTTCGGTTACACAAAATAGGCGTTTCGGACCCAACGTTTCGGAAGTGCTAGATGATTTCGCACGTTTAGCAGTAAAATTTGAGGAAGCAGCTATTTATCAGTATGCTGCAATGTGCCAGTTGGGTGTGGGTAAATGTGAAGCTCACATTAACAACGCTACGGGCGAGTGCCAGGCTTTGTTGAGGGCAGCTCGATTATTTCTAAGAATTCATCAAGATAAGGAAGATTTGCTATTTAAATGTAATTTCTACGAATATCGTGAGGCTGCCTTGCATTGCTATTCACAGGCAGTGGAAAAATGTCCGGATGATAGTGTTATGAAGGCGGCTATAATACGTGAAATGATTCCTCTACAGCCACATTACGAGGGCACTAGTTCTTTCAGTTCGCCTGTGCATCGGATCTATGAACTGGAGCTGTCTGCTCAAAATTGTTTGCATCAGGAAGACTTTCTAAAAGCACTTCAACAATTGGATGACATTGTCGATAATATTTATGAGCGTAAGAAACAAAGTTTGTATAAAGATCTGCTAGGGAGAATAGAAATACTCAGAGTCTTATTACTGGTAAATCTGACCTTGCCGCCATCGAGACAAACGCCAGCTCATATTAAACTAATTGAATACTATATACAGATGGCCGAGTTTCATAGCAGTGAAGAGTTGGCTTCTGGGGGAAATAACGGTGCTTGGCAGCCCGGGCAGTTTTTACCTATGATCCAGAAACACTCTCTGGCCCAAATAGTCTTAGCCTGGCACCTAGAAAACAGACAAGACTTGAGAATGTATTTACGAGACTTTCGTCACGAATATGTTTCATTAAACGAATCTCAAAAATTTTTAATAAATTTTATTATCGCTAAAGTAAGTAAAAAGTGTTAAAACATCAAAAGAACAAAATTATTCAAAACTCATTTTTTTTAATGTTGGTCCAAGTAATTAAATTTTTTACGTAGCTTTTCACGTTTTTCCTTTTTAACACCGCGCCAAGGTTTTGATGATACTTCTCCAGTCGCCACAGCGCCGTCCTTTGTCACGCGTACATGAGGAAAATTGGTGCGCCCTTTAATATGCGCAACGCCCACTGGCTTATCAAAAAATTGTTTATCCAATTCCTTACTGGAAACTAGTTTAGTAACCTTAAGGAAACAAAAGAGAAGGAAATGAAAAACTTCAACAAATCTGGATAGTTAGGTTCAAAATACCCTCATAGCCCGTTGTTGTCGATGCGGGAGATTCTCTTCTGCGATTGCCTTACGTACTTTATTTGGAAATGTATGATATATGCTTTGTTCTAACGTGGGAGGAGCTATGCAATAGAGTAGACGACCGTTAACATAATCTTTCAGAACGTAACGAGCAGATCGGGCTTGGTCGGGTTGGCCATTGGAAGTCATAAAACCCCTATTATCTATTGGAGAAGTCAAATTTTTATTTAATATTATTTTCAGAAAATTGCGAAACTTACATCCGTAGGCTAGTAGAAGCTCCTCAGAATGCGGCGATCTCTGTGGGTCCTCTCCCTCCATAGGTTTGGCTATAACAATGCCATACGTATCTTCCAATACGTGACGAGGTATACGCGAGCAAAGCAGGTTTACTGCGGGCACATGATCGCGCATCTAAACTATTTTATTTTAATCAAAAATTTGTTTCTTTCAAATTCTAAATTCTTTTAGTTCATACCTGATCAATAGGTAAAATTCCATTCAATATCATATCCGCCTTGGTTAATACAAAACTGGGCATTACTAGGCCAGGACAGTCGCATAGTAATAGATCCTTTTCTAAATATAAAGTCTGGAAATGCTTGGTCTTTCCAGGCGTAGCCGACACTGAAACCTTTTTTTCGGTCATTAAAGCATTAATTGTGCTGCTCTTTCCCACATTCGGATAGCCCACTAACCCTATTGTAGTAATATTTTTTGTGTAGGTTGTCCCTTGGTAAATAGTTTTAAAAAAACTTATCAATTCCTTACGACTCAATAAGTTTGAGTTATTATTAAATTCTTTGGGGAAAGCAATTTTTTTTTCGATAATTTGTAGTTCTTCCTCTAATTTATTTAAAGTTTGATTGATTTCCTCGGCAGATGTTTTTAATTTTTCTAAACTATATAAGTTTCCTTTGCCGTCTTGCGAATCTCCGCGCTCTTCAATTATATCCATGCCCTTCTTACTGATTTTGAGCTTTTCTTTTTTTAGCTGTCCTTCCTGTTCCTTAAGTTCTTTATCAGCTAAGGTAGCTGAGAAAAAAGCCGTACGTATACCTTCTTCTTGAAAGTATTCGGCCCAGTGTTGTCTTTGATTTTCGGTAAGTAAATCAGATTTATTTACCAAAATCATATTAATTTTGTGTGGGTTAACTTCTTTAACGTATTTCTCTAAATCTTCACTCCTGAATAATAAGGGATTTCTGGCATCGACTATTTGTACCACAACATCTGAACGTTCAATTACACGCCATAATTGACGCCAAAACTCCAAATTTTTTTCGTATGGAGTTAAAATTAATTTTTCATCTTGTTCTTGCAATAAAGACAAGTTACGTCGCCAGTCAAGGAAGTTGTCTCTTTCTAATTGTTGTAATAATTCAGCAGTAGTTTCTGTTGACCATTTAGGTCTACGTGGGATTTTCAATAAATTCTTGCACGCCTTTTGCTTATCCTCAATTTGTTTTTGCTGTGTGAGTGTTAACAAACCCACTCTTTGCTTAGGATTTATGAAAGTTATATTTAATTTTTCAGCTTGAAACTCTGTTCCTGCCAATTCGGCGGTTCTCAGAAATTCTTGAAAGGAAGACTCTTCGGTAATTGAATTCAAATTAAGACGGCCCCAATCATACCCATCTTCAATTTCGGTAGTATGTAACTGAAAGGAATTCCGTATAAATATTGCATATTAAATTTTCATCTCATTTCTTATACCATGGAATCGTTATCCACTTTTTTCCTTTGAGTATGGCCAAAGCGACTTTTAATTAGCTCTCGCCCTAAACTATTACTTGCTTTATGCTTCTTATTCATTTTTTATCACTTTTAAATAATTTCACAAATAATTTAACACGTGCTACTCATATGCTAACAAATCTAAACAAAGATTTTGTTGCTTTTTAAAGGTATCATTTACGATTAATCGTAATTTCGTTTTAAAACAGAGTTGTTTTACAAATGATAGCAAATTGTAAAATAGTAGTATCAGCAGAACTAAGTAACGTAACATTGTTAAGTGAATTCATTTAGTAATTTTTCAAGGATTTAATTATAAATAAGTAATAGTATAGAGTATGAGATTAGAGTTGTTCCAATTTTTTGCGTCGCTAGAGCACATATATTTATTGAATTAAAAGCATTTTTTAAAACTATATTGTCACTCTCCGTCATTGTCACAGGACTCCGCGCCTAATACATTTTAATTATTTTTTCGATAAAATGCCAAGAATTATACCTCTTTTTCTTTAATACTTTCATATATTGTGTGTACAGTTATGTACATGAAGGGGAATCCAAAAGATAGAGCGATTCAATTTAATTTTTATCCCATCTATCTTGAACAAAATAGTACGTGAACATGGAGAAAGAAATATCGTTTTAGGTAATAATACTGAATCGGTGTAATGAAAGGTCTATCTTAAGTCAGTTTGTGAACAATAAGCAAAAAAGGAAGCTGAAAAGGTGTTCTCAGTTTATGTTGTATTGTAGGCGTGTCCTTTTATTGATTTGGCTCATTTTCAATGGCAACGTGCGCACGAGACTTCCCAATGCCTAGACCGTTTCAAAAGTTTCTACTTGTCAAGAGGATATATTGTAGTGTGATCGCATACCGTCGTATGCATCCACTTTGAAGTGCGACAGAATTATGCTGAATTTGCATAATTCTGTAACAAAAAAAAAGTAAAACAAAAATTTTGTCGCACTTCACGTACGAAATGCAATACGATGCCAGGCGCCCCAATTAAAATAAGTGCTTACATTAGCATTAACCCACCTGTAGATTTAAGTATAAATAAGGCAGATCAAGAAATAAAGAATTAATTGTTTTTGACAGCAATTCAACATAGCGTATTAACTCGCTGTTTTATTAAAGCCGTTGAATCCGCCTACGTTTTTATTAGGGACCGTCTCTTTGGCACTGAATGAGACGGCTAGACTTGGCGTACTGAAGCCGAGCAGCTTAGGGCTAAACTGCGGTACACTTAATATAAACTAAACTTCATTTATATTACACCGTACCACAAACCCTTTACAATATACACTCGATGATGCTGTAAACATTTTGACAAAGTTTGGTTAAAATTTCACCATGGGATTTTGCAAGCAAGTAACTTTCTCTCACAATGGTAAACAGTGTACGTTTTGGAGAATACTTCTGCAACGTGCTTCCTTTACATTTAGGATGCTTTTAGACATCTGTGATAAAGTTATACTTTTTATTATCACTATATTTTCGTTCTTCGCAATGAAAAAAAAAAAATTGAACTTTAGCAAGATAGGCTATCGGTTCTATTTTAGAAAAGATATTCGAGTCTAATAATTTTAATAAATTGATATTGGGTTCTATTCCTAGAATTAAAAATTTCGAATGCGACTTTTCGAATAAGGAAAAAGTCTAAGCAGAAGATTTCTGAAGGATGCATTGATATGTTGCATTGCATGGTTAAGGCAAATATTAGCAAATATTTTAATTTTGATTTTGCTAATATTAATTGAATATAATGGAAGAATAGAAGAGGATAGTTAACAGAGGAGTAGTGCTGATGATACCACAGTACAGTAGATTCGCTTTTATAGTTTTCAATTTGATTTTGTTTCCAATGTATTTTTGAACATTAAACAATTCCATAGTTCCGAGGTGCAGAAGGAAGTGACTTCAACGTTCGATCAGCGTGTACATTTCATTTAGTTTCTTCATCTCTTGAGCGAGTAAGTTGACATTAGAAGAAGATTCGGTTCAAAGGAAACAAATTTCTTGCTTTGGTTTGCTTGTCAACGTATTCAGCCTATTTTAGATTGGAAACCTAATAGGAAATATGTCCGTTCAAGTATTAGGTTCGTAACCGAACAAACGAACATACATGCTTAAATCTATTTCAAACTCAATACTATATGAGTTTTGCCGTGAGTAATACTGTCAGCAGTATCCATCAATTTGAACACATCCTATCAGAAAATATCGAAAAATCGGCTCACCGTAAACCAACGTTTTGCTAGTCTATTATTAACCTTAGCCTAGCTTTGTAAAGCTTTAGGCTGTGTAAGGTTAGGCGAAAGGATTGCTTGATGTTTCTAAGATAGATTGTATGTTTGCAGTACGAGTAATTTCTTTTTCAGTCATTTATCTTACCTTTTTTGTGATTGAAAAAAAAAAAAGGATAAAGAAAAATTCAAATAAGTTTTTTATAAATTATATGTTTTTTTTTTTTTTTTAATATATAATTTTTATTTAATTATTTTCAAATACGTCTTTTTTTGTTTTTAATTTTTGATTTTTGATTTTTGAATTTTCATTTCTCCTACAAAATAAGAAAAAAAAATAAATATATATATATATATATATATATATATATATATGTATAAATAAGTTACTTATTTATGTGATATAAAGTTTACACACGTTGCATGTGTATATGTGTTTATATAGGTATGTACGTAGGTATGTGTGTATACATTTTCGTTTTTATGACTACTTTTATTATAAATAATTAGTCTTTCTATCGAGACGATTAAACATTTAATATCGTTTTTCTTAAATTACTTATTTAGTTGTTTTTGTTGTTGCTGTATGTTTGCTTCTTTTTTTTAAGTTTAATACAAGTATATATAATGGTAATAAGAATAATAATAATAATTATATAATTGTTAGAAAGAAATAAAGAAATATTTAAGTGTTATAATGTTCTGCTATGTCTCGTGGAGGAGAAAGACATTTTATTTATTTTTAAATATAAATAAGAGAAAAATTAAGTAAATTAATAATAAGTTTTTTTTTAAATTTATTTATTTATTTTTTTTTTTTCAAACGTACAAAAGATATTGTAAGAATATCTTATAGTGAGATTTCCGGTTTTCTTTATTCGTTTTTTTCTTTTTTATTTTCTTTATTTTTTTTTTTATTTTTAAATTTAATTTTTTTTTTTGTTTTTTTTTTTTTTGTTCTTTATTCACTTTTCAATTCTGTTTCGTTTTGTGATTTTAAAGACCCGGTTTATATGTATATATATTTATATAATGTACGGAGTTTTTCTTTCCTTTCTATCTTTTCTTTAACAAATTATTGTAAATTAATAGGAATCATTAATAGTTGTTAAGGTGTTTCTTATCTTTCATTTATTTATTTATTAATTATTTTTTTCCTTTCTTTCAGGTGAAAAAGTGGAAATTAATCATTGAAAATAAGGAGGAAAGATGCAAAGTGGTGTTTCATTTTAAAGTTCAATGATGCGAAAGAATGAATTGATGCATCAGCATTTTATGTATATATATTTTGGAGAGGACGTAAATTCATTTCATTTATTCTCACATTGTTAACGTTGTTAAGAAAATACTTTACAACTTTAACGACTTAATCCAGCCGCTGGTGTGAATTTTACGTATTCGGGCCGCATGAGTCGACGAATTTTTTCATTTATAAAAATACTATCGTGACACACGTACATTATTACACGTACTCATATTAGTATCGTTCAGTACAATGTTTAGATTAAGATTTCTGCTTAAGGTTGACACAGTTATCGAGACAAGTAATTTAATATTTTTTTCTTGGATCTTTAATTTACCACGTCCCACATTTACGTTAATAGATTTTCGGATGAGACAGCTTGAAGATCTCATTTTTCTTTGAGTGAAAAACCTCAGCATGGTTGCGTCATTATTAATCGGATATTCGTGTAGTCTTAAGTGTACAGAGTTTTTATATGTAACAAAGGCAATGATAAAACGAGAATAATGTCCATCCATTTCTCTCTTTCATTTAGCTACTTTGCTTAGTTGGTTGAGATGTCAAATACGATCAAACACTTTTTACACGGCTTAGTGCATGTTATAAATATAAAGGTACTCGTCCTCTATTGCTTTGTGAAGGCTGATGCAAAAAGCTCTTTTTTATTATTGAAAGGCCCGTAAATCTTAAGTTTACTTTAAATTTAATTATTATTATTATTTTTTTTTTCGTTTGTTCCTTTTCATTACTTTTGTTTTAGTGTCAGTTTATAATGCTCTTAAATGTTTATATAAATTTTGTGTATACAAAAATTGTCCAAAAATTTAAAAAAAAACATTTTCTTTTGCTTCGCTTTTTTCGTTTTCAATATGAGTTTATTTCATTGTCCATATTATATATCTATATATATATATCATATACATCATATATATTATATATATATATATATATATATATAT